AATTTTTTGGGATCATTTTTTGGTGACATAGTATGTGTGGTGTGTTAGTTTCTTTCCTAGCAGTTTAAGTGCTGTTAGCTACCAAGACTAGTGAGGAAGGGGGAGGAAAGCTTTAAAAATATCTCACTCACATAATCACCATCTTGGGGGATGAGGATGTTCATCTCGGATGACTTGGCACTCACAATCTCACAGTCTAATGATTCTTCACTGAGGTAGATGTGGCAGCCTTCTGTTTTGTTAATAGAAATGGTTGGCACTTTCCCCATCACCTGCAAAATAAAATCTACTTAATATCAAATCTTAAAATGCACACAAGGATACTGTTAATAAAATCCTCTTTGCCTGCCAGATCTAATTTTGGCCACCAACATCTGATCTGCGTGTCAGCTGCCTGCATGATGCTTATATTTGATTTGTTAGAGACTGAAAATTCTTGGTGGTGGTAACAAAGATCTACACACAACAGCAAACTCAAACAGCAAGCTTTTAACTTGCAGTTTGATGAAAGTGCTTCCCTAATTCTAATTTCAGTTGTACTTTTGTGCCCATATTTAGGTGGTGTTCACCTTGTTCATCGGGGGAACTGGTTAAGGAATCAAAACATGTCAAGTCCAACCCAGTTAGGGCAAATGAAAGATGCCAGCTTACAGTAGTACTCAAGGAGTGATTTGTAATATGTTCTGAAGACTTCAAAGCTCTTTCAGGTTTTACAGCATACAATAGGAAAGGGTTTTTATCCCCTTCAGGCAGCTACAGTTCTAAAAAAGTACTGAGTTCAATTTAATTAAATTTCTCAAGGTATTTCTTCTGTCACTTTAAAAGCCAAGCACAAGATTTACTTGAGGGGAGAAAGGGAGATCTCCTATTTACAGTTCTACAGATTAGAAGATTTCTTCATGGCTAAGTGGCTGACTCACTGGTTGTCAGTAAAAACGCTTCCATCTCCTCCTGCCCTCTCTGGCAGGGACAGCAATGTACTTTGGACAGTGCATCAAGAGAGCAGAGGTTATTCTGAGCCATAAAACAGTAAAAGCATGTGATAGATATGTACTTGTTAAAGAACATCTCCCATCATTTAAGTTTGCAACATCAAGCAGTTTGGGCAGAAGGACGTGTGAGCAGGGCCGTGCACCCTGCTTGTAGGCCCAAAGCCCAGGGAGGTGCTCTAGGTCTCTGCAGTAATGGTGGACTCTTGCCTCAAGAGTTAAAACCAGTGTTTCTACAGAGAAAGCCCCTGAGATGTCTGACATTTCCACACTGACAGAACTGGTAAGGAAAGAGACTTCAGTATGGACAGTAGGTGACAATGAGTGCTCAGACCCTTCTCCTGGAGAAAAGGTGAGCACGAAAGATGTGCACAGGTTGATGATCTGCTGCTGCGTGTTGCAGGAAGCAGTCAAACTGCAGTATTAGAAGGGCCGAGACAGAGGTAGTCAAGTGGTTTCAAAACCATGCTCCTGTGGTGGATGCCACAGAAAATGAGGCACTTTGGACCCTGGTGACCCACAAAAGCAGGACTCTGCTTCAGTCTTCACCCTCCGACATTACAAGCAAAAACACACAAAGCTTTAACAGCTGTAGACACCCACGAGCAAGGTCTGCAAGGAGAAACTGCTCCAGCACCACACAGTGGTGTGAGTGCTTGTAGTGGGTGACTTTCTGTTAAGGGGCACTGAGGCACCCATCCGCCAGACTGACAGGGAGTCACGAGAGGTATGCTGCCTTCTGGGAGCTAAGGTCCAAGGTGTTGCCAAGAGAGTGCCACAACTTGCCAAGGGCGCAGACTACTACCCATTGCTGCTCTTTCACGTGGGCGCGAATGACACTGCAAGCTGGAACCTGGGCAGAATCAAGGAAGACTACAAAGCCCTGGGAGTGCAAGTGAAAAGTACTGGTGCCCAAGTTATCCTTTCTTCCATTTTACCAGTTAGAGGAAAGGGTGCAGCCAGAAATAGACGTATAATGCAAATCAACTGCTGGCTTTGTGGCTGGTGCCATCGTGAGGGTTTTGACTTTTATGACAACGGGACATTCTTTGATGACTACAGCCTGTTAGGAAGGGATGAGATCCACCTGTCCAGAAGAGACAAGGGAGTCTTTGGCAGCAGGCTGGCCAACTCAGTGAGGCAGGCTTGAAACTGAAGGACTTGGGGGACAGGGTCTAAAGTGGCAACACTCACGCCATTCCATCCAACTGGGGAATAAGTGAGGCCAACCAGAGCAATGACAAATGTTCCTTAGCTGCCTCCCAAGATGGAGAACCAGGAGACCAAGCACCTCAAGTGTATGTATACTGATGCACGCAGCCTGGGGAACAAACAAGGAACTGGAGCTCTGCGCCCAGTCAGGAAGTTGTATCATAGGAATAACTAAAACATGGTGGGACAACTCACAAGACTGGAGGATTGCAATGGATGGCTACAGGCTGTTTTGTAAAGACAGGCAGGGAAGAAGAGGAGGAGGAGCTGCGCTCTATGTTAAGTAGAACCTTGAATGTACAGAGGTCAACTATGGTGATTGTGGTAGCTCTATCAAATGCTTCTGGATCAAGATCAGAGAGGTTGTCTCCAAGGGGGATCTTATAGTAAGCATCTGCTACCGACCTCCAAACCAAAACAATACGGCCAACAAAGCAATATTTGGGTCACTTAAGCAAGCTTCGGGTCAACAGAACCTGATTCTTATGGGTGACTTCAAGTACCCAGACATTTGTTGGAAGAACAATACAGCAGCTCACATGTCATCCATCAAGTTCCTGGAATGCATAGAGGACTGCTTCCTCATACAAATGTTAAATGTGCCAACTAGGAATGAGGCACTGCTGGACTTGCTACTCACAAACCAACAAGATCTGCTTTGTAATGTCTTGGTTAGTGATAGCCCTA